TCCCATTTCTGACTCAAACCCGGCCCTAAACCCCCCTAATCCCCTGCGCTGGAATGGATTGCAGGAGGGAGAGAGGATAATGCCGGGGGTGGGGGGCGCAGGCAGGGCCAAAAGCTGCCATTGAACACAAAGTGATTTACAGGGTCCCTGGGGTTGGGGGCAAATGACCCCCAGCCCATCCCCTCCGGCTCCTCATCCCTTCCCATTGCCCCGTGTTCCTTGCAGCGGTGCAGGCACATGGGCTCATGCTCCCACCGGCCGGTTTGGGGGCTCAGCCATGTCACGGGCAGGGAGCAGGGCTGGCTCAGGGCTGGCTCCCACTGGCCCCAGCCTTGTGGCCGAGCCGAGCCCCTGGCAGAGATGCTGCCGGGAGGATGCTGAAATGGCCACGGGCACCGCTGCGACATCTTCCCCACTGCCGGCGGGGAGAGACGTGGTGTGTCAGCAATGCCCTGGCTGGGAGATTCCCCCTCGTCTTCCTCCTCTGCTGCCTCCTCCTGCTTCTCCTCCTCCTCTTCTCAGGGATTTCTGTGGGAATTTCCTGCGTTGTCATAGCAGCCGTGAAGCCTCTGAGGCTTCTCTGCAGCAGGACAGGGTGGGATGGGGCTGCAGGTGAGCCTGAGCCTGTCCCTGTGCCCTGGCACACACGCACGCAGGGCAGCCGTGTCCCCGGGGGGGGGGGTGAGGGGGGGCACAGCTCTGCACACACACATGCATGCAGGGCAGTGTGTGTTGGTGTCAGCCTTGGCGTGGCCCTGGCTTCTGTCCCCAAGCTGATGGGGCTTGGCAGAGCTCAGGGTGCTCAGGGCTCAGCACACCACGGTGGGACATTCAGGGGCTTTGGTGATTTGGGTGCCAGCATCAGCTGCTCCGACCCTATGGGAGCATCCTCCTGTGCACCCATGCAGCCGGGGTGACACAGGAGGAGCTGGGTGCCCCAGGACCATGCCCTAAGGAGGGTCAGTGCCTGGAAGACAAAAAGGCACCATCCCCGCAGCCTGCTGGGGTACTGGGATGAGCTGGGAGGGGAGAGGGCAAAGCAAGAGGGGCTCAGTCCCTGCCTGGATCTGCAAACCCAACCAGGGTCTCCCAATACCCTGCAGACCCCTCCCCATGGGCCTGCACTGGCCCCTGAGCTTGTCCCTGTCCCCACGCCGTGTGGGGCTCCACAGAGGACACGGTGAAGGTAAGCGGAGCCACGGTGGGGGCACAGGGCAGGGGCTGCAGGAATAGCTAAGGATTAAGAGAAAATGCCCAGATAATGAGGATCTTTGGTAAAAAGCCCATTTGTATAATTTAAATCTCTAATAGGCTTCCTGGAATACAAAGCCCTTTGTGATGCCCAATCTCATCTAGATCAGGAGCCGCTCGCTCGCTAAATCTTGACTTAGCACCGCAGGGATGCAGGGATGTTTCATAACGGAGTGGCTCCATCCCACGTCCCCCCCTCCCTGTGATGCCCACGCTGCCGCCCTGAAGCACGTACAGCTCACCTTGCCCAGGCAGCCAAGGTTGGGGCTCCTGGGGACACATGTCCCGGTCCCCATGGGGCACATGCTTGTCGGCACCTGGACATGTGTGTTCAGCAGTGGTGTGACATGGAGCTGGGATGTGTTTTGGGGCAGTTGAGGCACAAGCGGGTCCCCAGCTGTAGAAATGGCCACGGGTGGTGGCCGCAGCAGAGCTGAGGGGACGCAGGCGTGCTGGGGGCCTCTTGGCACCCAGTTTTCTGTGCCACCTTCCTTGGCAGGGTCTGCAGAAGTGCCCAAGGGGTTTCCCCAGCACGGGGGCAGTTTGTCACCACGTCCAGAGTGTTGCAGGGCTCCCCAAATCGTGCTGGGGCCGGTCCATGGCCAGGGTATCCCCCAGCTCGTCCCACCTGGGGGGGCTGGGGCTGCTGGCAGGGGTGGCTGAGCTCTGCAGGGAGGCCAGGAGGTGCCCAGGGCTGGCTGGGGGGGCTGCAGCTCAGCCCCACTGTGTGTCCCCCCCCGGGCCTGAGGGCAGGGGAGGTGGTGCCACCGCGGCGG